AGTGCTAGCCTTGAGCTGAAGAGCTGAGGGACAGCGCCCAGGCCCAGAGTTCAGGCCCCACGACCGGACCCCCCCCCCAAAAAAAAAAAAAAAAAAACAGTCGGGCACCCTTGGCTCCTGCCTATAATCCTTTCTGTTCAGGCCACTGAGATCTGAGGATATCAGTTCCAAGTCAATTCTTGCAGGAAAGTCTGTGAGAGTTATCTCCAATTAAGCACCAAAAATCCAGATGTAGAGCTGTAGTTCAAGTGGTAGAACACTAGCCCTTAAGCAAAAAAGCTTAAAGACAGCACTCAGGCCCTGAGTTCAAGTCCTGAAATGGTACCAAAAAAAAAAAGACAGCTGGTTAAGAGTGTGGTGGCTCATGCCTGTAATCTTAGCTAGTCAGGAGGCTGAGATCTGAGGATTGTGGCTTGAAGCCAGCCAAGGCAGAAAAGTCTGAGACTCTTATCTCCAATTTAACCACCAGAAAACTGAAAGTAGTACTGTGGCACTGGAAGGGGTACTCGTGCCTAACTACGCAGGAGGCTGAGATCTGGGATCAAGGCTCAAAGTCAGCCTGGGCAGGAAAGTCCGTGAGACTCTTATCTCCAAGAAACCACTTAGAAAACTGGAAGTAGTGCTGTGACTCAGAAAACTGGAGTGGTGCCGAGGCTCAAGTGGTAGAGCGCTAGCCTTGAACTGAAGAGCTGAGGGACAGCGCCTAGGCCTAGAGTTCAAGCCCTACAACCAACAAAGGAAGGAAGGAAAGATAGAAAGAGAAAGAAAGAAAAGAAGAAAACCAGAAGTAGTGTTGTGGCTCAAAGTGGCAGAGGACTAGCCTTGAACAAAAGAGTTCATGGACAGCACGCCGGCCCTGAGTTCAAGCCCCATGATAAAAAAAAAAAAAGGGTTAAGATAAATGTTCACAGAGGAAGCTTGTCAACAGATAAAGCGAAGGGAAAAGCACTGTCACAGTATCCTGGAGAGCATGCGTGTTAGCCAGTTCCCAGTGATGAGAAAACAACAGAAAAAAAAGCCACGCTGTGCTTTGTCTTTCCGTTTCAGGAGTTTCCATCCACAGTGGGATGGTTCCATTGTTTCTAAGCCTGGCCCCAGAGCATCATGGCCGTAGGAGGTGGGGGGCAGAGAGCGACCTTGGAAAAGAATCAGATCCTCCTGAGGACTTGCCCATGGGTGGCATTATGGCGTGACAGCTGGCTCCCTGGATGGGTTGGCCTAGCAGATGCGGAAGGCAAGATCGTTGACACCGGAAGCTGTTGATTGCTAGGACAAAGTTCTCTCCCCTGCATTCAGCCGGAGGGGTTTTCTTGGCATCAAGTGCTCCAACCATCTTTGGGGAAAGTCCCAAGAATTTCTCCCTGCTTCCCTAAAGCAGTGTCAGGAAGAGCTGAGTCCATGGGGACTACATTAAACAGGTTCCAGAAGATCTCTGAAATTCTCTTCCAAGAAATCACCATCCCACATAGCTTTGCGGCTACAAGATTGCCCTCTGGGCTGAGCTCAGAGTATTTGAGCTCATCTGTACCCAGCTTAGCTCTTGGGCTCAAAAATACCTCTGCAGCCAAGTGCTGGTGCATACCTGTGAACCCACGGACTCCGGAGGCTGAAAAGGGTGGTTGGCCTGAGTCCAGGAGTTCAAGATCAACCTGAGCAACATAGGAAGACCCCATCCCAAACAAACAACAAAACCCAACCTCCAACTACACACACACACACACACACACACACACAGGGCTGAGGGTTTAATGAGTTTCACATGCACTCTGG